CCAAGGGTCGCCGGCAGGGCCTTCGCTGTTTGGTCGTTTGGGGATATGGACTCGCTGGCTTAGTGAGCGCCTTTGATTTTTAGGTCATTAGGTCAAATGTCAAGGTCACAGGGGCTTTTACTAAAAAAACTTGTCCACCCAATAACTTAAGATTTCTTTGACCCTTGATCTTCATATTTGACAGGGAGGTTAGTCATGACTAGTAGAATGATCCCTATTGATTTTGAAGTCAAAGGTCAAGGTCACAGGGGCCAGGGGACTAAAGAAGCTTGTCCGCCCAATAATTTAAGATCCCTTTGATCCATAGTCTTCAAATTTGGCATGCAGGTTATTCCTGACTAGTTGATGACCCTATTGATTTTGAGGTCACTGTCAAAGGTCAAGGTCACAGGGGCATTGACTAAAAAAGGCTTGTCCGCCCAATAATTTAAGATTCCTTTGATCCATTGTCTTCAAATTTTGCATGCAGGTTAGTCCTGACTAGTTGATGACCCCTATTGATTTTGAGGTCACTGGGTCAAAGGTCAAGGTCACAGTGGCCTTGACTAAAAAAGCTTGTACACCCAATGACTTAAGATGCCTTTGACCCATAGTCTTCATATTTGGCATTGAGGTTGGTCATGACTAGTAGAATGACCCCTATTGATTTTGAGGTCATTGGTTCAAAGGTCAAGGTCACAGGGGCCTTGACTAAAAAAGCTTGTCCACCCAATAATTTAAGATTCCTTTGATCCATAGTCTTCAAATTTGGCATGCAGGTTAGTCATGACTAGTTGATGGCCCCTGTTGATTTTGGGGTCAAAGGTCAAGGTCACAGGGGCCTTGACTAAAAAAGCTTGTGCACCCAATAACTAATTATGCCCCCACTTCAAAGAAGATGGGGTATATTGCTTTGCAGTTGTCTGTCCGTCGGTCCGTAGACCAAATGGTTTCCTAGTGATTACTAAAGAACCCTAAGCTTAGGAACTTCAAACTTAGTATGGTGATTGGTCATGACCAGTAGATGACCCCTATTGATTTTGGGGTCAAAGGTCAAGGTCACATTGACCTTGTAAGTAAAAATGGTTTCAGATAAATAATTAAAGAATGCTTAGGTCTAGGAACTTCAAACTTTGTATGATGATTGGCAATGACCAGTAAATGACCCTTATTAGTCCCCTACTGGTTTACCGAAGGGGACTTTAGGTTTACCCTCCGTCAGTCTGTCTGTCCATCAGTCCGTCAGTCCGTCCGTCCGTCGGCAAAACTGGATCCCGCGATAACTTGAAAAGTACTGAAAATATTTTAACGAAACTTCATATATGGATAGATGGCTGTATGGAAATTATGCACGTCTTTTTCTTTTCTTCCTTTGTTGAGAATTCTGGTTGCTATGGCAACTAGGCTGAAAATGTGGCAAATTTTACACATAATCTTGATCCAGTGATAACGCAAAAAGTACTGGAAATATTTTAATGAAACTTGAAATATGGGTAGATGGCATTCTGGAGATTATGCACGTCTTTTTCCTTTCTTCCTAAGTTGAAAATTTTGGTTGCTATGGCAACAAATTGACTGAAAATATGGCAAATTTTACAAATAAACTTGATCCAGTGTAAACGCAAAAAGTGATAGAAATATTTTTATGAAACTTGTAATATCGGAAGATAGCAGTCTGTAGATTATGCATGTCTTTTTCTTTTCTTCCTATGTTGAAAATTCTGGTTGCTATGGCAACATATAGGCTGAAAATGTGGCAAATTTTACACATAATCTTGATCCAGTGATAACGCAAAAAGTACTGGAAATATTTTTATGAAACTTGAAATATGGGTAGATGGCAGTCTGGAGATTATGCACGTCTTTTTCCTTTCTTCCTACGTTGAAAATTCTGGTTGCTATGGCAACAAATAGTCTGAAAATATGACAAATTTTACAAATAAACTGGATCCAGTGTTAACGCAAAAAGTAATAGAAATTTTTTTATAAAACTTGTAATATCGGTAGATGTTAGTCTGGAGATTATGCACGTCTTTTTCTTTTCTTCTTATGTTGAAAATTCTGGTTGCAGTATGGCAACACATAGACTGAAAATATGGCAAATTTTTACACATAAACTGAATCCAGTGATAACTCAAAAAGTACTGGAAATATTTTTATGAAACTTGACATATGGGTAGATGGCAGTCTGGATATTATGCATGTCTTATCTTTTCTTCCTATTTTGATAAGTCAAAAAGAGCTGAAAATTTTTATGAAATTGCATCTTTAATTCAAGAGTTATCTCCTCTTTAAGAATTTTGCTTTTAAAAATGTTATATTTTGGTAACAGGGATGTTTCAAATATTAACTTTAGAGTGTCCTTCAGTCTGTTTGTCTGTCTGTTCATAAAAACTGTTTCCTCTGATCACTTTTAAAGAACTTTTCCAACAATGTTACTTAAAATAGAGAAAAATTGAAACATTAGTGAATGGCCAATGGCCCTTCAGAATGTTGATGGGGTTCTAACCGGTAGGGGTTTTATGGATTGCTTGCAATACTATGATAATTGCTTGTTGATTTTTGGGTATAAGGTCAAGGTCACATTCACCTTGTAGGTAAAAACGGTTTCCGATCAATAACTAAAGAACACTTAGGCCTGGGAACTTCAAACTTTATATGATGATTGGTCATGACCAGTAGATGACCCCTATTGATTTTGTGGTCAAGGGGTCAGTGTCAAATTGACCTTGTACTTTAAGATGGTTTCTGACCAATAACTCAACAAGTCAAGTTGCCTTGGTTGATATTTTGATATTAACCTAAAAATGCTTTTTGTATACACATTTGAAGGTCTTATGTAATGTATGAGGCCTATATGATTCATAAAATTTATGCATATTTTATTTGGTAAGATTTGTAATAACCTACATTGCTGCACACAACCTATGGGGTCACAATAATTATAACCTTGTGACTAGTCATGACCAGTAGATAACCCGTATTAATTTTTGGCCGGGTTGCACTGGTGCAAACCCGGGTTATAGTATGGTGAATGTTGGGCGGGCGGGGGGCGGGGCAAAACTTTCATAACAGTTTTCTCAGCAAACTACTTATCATAGCCTTTTAATATTTGGTATACAGCGCATCAACACATGGTCCCATACTGTGGGATTTGATTTCAGGTCTGTCGCTCATTTACCTCCTGTTTGCTGACCTAGTTAAATTTTCAACATTAATGGTCAATAGCAGGAAATTTTCGTAACAGTTTTCTCAGCAACTACTTATCACAGCCTTTTGATATTTTGTATACAGCATCAACACATGGTCCCATACTAATAATATCTGTCATATGTTGCGGTTCGGACCGGAATATCCGTCCCGAGGGGACCCGCCCATTGGGCGGTAACGAGGCTTGCCGAGTTACCGCCCATGGGCGGGTTCCCGAGGGACGGATATTCCGATCCGAACCGCAAACATATGAAAGATATTTTTTCTTGCATATTCTGCCATATTATTTCATATTTAAAGTGGTTTACCTTAATATGATAAATGTTCATGGAAATTAAAGTCATTTCATCCATCACTATTTTCTTACAATAGCGTATGAACTTACAACTTAAATAACAACGGCGAAATGACGTCATCCTAAGCACATATTTCCCTTCTAAAACGACGTCATTTTAACGCGGTTCATTCATAAAGTGCGCTAAAATGACGTTGTTGTTTGGCACGCGACTCATGAAATTTCCGGCATGGGTAAAACTCACGGAAATGCCAGTCTGCTGTGCAAGAATGTGGGATTCGATTTAAGGTCTGTCGCTCATCCACTTCCTGTTTGCTGACCTAGTTGAATTTTCAACATTAATGGTCAATAGCAGGAAATTTTCATAACAGTTTTCTCAGCAACTACTTATCACAGCCTTTTGATATTTGGTATACAGCATCAACACATGGTCCCATACTGTGGGATTTGATTTCAGGTCTGTCGCTCATTTACTTCCTGTTTGCTGACCTAGTTAAATTTTCAACATTAATGGTCAATAGCAGGAAATTTTCGTAACAGTTTTCTCAGCAACTACTTATCACAGCCTTTTGATATTTGGTATACAGCATCAACACATGGTCCCATACTGTGGGATTCGATTTCAGGTCTGTCGCTTATCTATTTCCTGTTTGCCGACCTAGTTAAATTTTCTACATTAATGCTCAATGGTAGGAAATTTTCGTAACAGTTTTCTCAGGAACTACTTATCACAGCCTCTTGATATTTGGCATACAGCATTAACATATGGATTGACCAGAAAATTTTCGTAACAGTTTTCTCAGCAACTACTTATCACAGCCTTTTGATATTTGGTATACAGCATCAACACATGGTCCCATACTGTGGGATTCGATTTAAGGTCTGTCGCTCATCCACTTCCTGTTTGCTGACCTAGTTAAATTTGGCACCTTGACTGTGTGATAGGTCAAGGTCACAGGGATTTTTACTATGATAAGTTTTGTCTGCTCAAATGCTTAAGAATGCCTGTCTGTAGCGTCTTGATTTTGACATTTTCACATTTGAAGCATTTAGAATACATAAGCATGTAGAATACATAACTTAGCAATGCAGGGAGGTTGTCCTTGAGCTCTAAATGGCCACTGTTGATTCTGACAATGTGGTATGCGGGGGTATTTAGTTCATAAAGCACCAAAGAAATGATTCATTATCCTATATGTACTTAAATTAGCGCTCAAACCATTATCGGTATTCAGAGAATTAACTAATGACATGACTTACAGAGAACCACAAAATGTTAAGATACATCAAAACTTTGCGGCAATTGACTCAAACAGACTCTTAAGCTGTGTTCCGACAAGGTCACCATTGCTGAAAAAACTTTTTATATGTTTGTTCATATAACGTCAATGTAAAGTAGAGAGACACCATAATTATGCTGTCAATTTGCAACTATTCTGCTCGTTTGAACCAAGTACATGTATGCAACCACTTCACATCCTGCCCATATTAACTTACATGTCTTATTTCGTTTCAGGTGTGATAAAATCCACCAACAACAATCAAGAAAAATGGAAAAAGCAGGTATTGCACCTGTGGTCTGTCAGCAATGACGTGACATCTACACTGATCAAAGTGTTCAACATGATACCGCCGGAAATAAAATCAAACACGGTCATTTTGATCACCACGACAGTAAAGACATTTAATTTGATTTACTTGAACAAATAAATTTGGACAGACAATATTAGGAGACTGTTAAATAAGAAAATTTAGATGTGCTTTAGTCAATTTTTTAAGTAAGAACTTCAAAAAGAAAAAGAAAGATATAGAAACACTGATAAAGAAGAAAGATTGTGCGAAATCTGCCAAGAAAACTATTGTATTGAAACGGAATATCACTTCGTACTTAATTGCAATTCATAAAGCTGTCTTATGAAGCTGTATATTCCAAGAAAATATTGGATTCCACCGTCAATTAACAACTTTAACATACTCATGAATACTACTCAGTAACACAATTTTTTCATGGTTTTATTTTTAGCTCACCTGTCACAAAGTGACAGGGTGAGCTTTTGTGATCGCTTTTCGTCCGGCGTCCGTCCGTCCGACGTCCGTCCGTAAACTTTTGCTTTAAATGACATCTCCTCATAAACCACTGAGCCAATTTCATCCAAACTTCACAGGAATGTTCCTTTGGTGGTCACCTTTAAAAATTGTTCAAAGAATTTAATTCCATGCAGAAATCTGGTTGCCATGGCAACCGAAAGAAAAATCTTTAAATATCTTCTTTTAAACAACCCTAAGAGCTAGAGCTTAGATATTTGGCATGAAACATCTTCTAATGAGTGTCTACCAAGTTTGTTCAAATAAAAGCCCTGGGGTCAAAATTGGCCCCGCCCCGGGGGGTCATTGATTTTCCCTATATGCATATAGTAAAAACTTAAAAAATCTTCTTTTAAAGAACTGTAAGAGCTAGAGCTAAGATATTTGGCATGGAACATCTTCTAGTGAGTGTCTACCAAGTTTGTTCAAATAAAAGCCCTGGGGTCAAAATTGGCCCCGCCCCGGGGGGTCATTGATTTTCCCTATATGCATATAGTAAAAACTTACAAAATCTTCTTTTCAAGAACTGTAAGAGCTAGAGCTTAGATATTTGGCATGAAACATCTTCTAGTGAATGTCTACCAAGATTGTTCAAATAAAAGCCCTTGGGTCAAAATTGGCCCCGCCCCAGGGGGTCATTGATTTTCCCTATATGCATATAGTAAAAACTTAAAAAATCTTCTTTTAAAGAACCCAAAAAGCTAGAGCTAAGCTATTTGGCATGAAACATCTTCTAGTGAATGTCTACCAAGTTTGTTCAAATAAAAGCCCTGGGGTCAAAATAGGCCCCGCCCTGGGGGGTAACTGATTTTCCCTATATGCATATAGTAAAAACTTAAAAAATCTTCTTTTAAAGAACCAGAAGAGCTAGAGCTTAGATATTTGGCATAAAACATCTTCTAGTGAATGTCTACCAAGTTTGTTCAAATAAAAGCCCTGGGGTCAAAATTGGCCCCGCCCCAGGGGGTCATTGATTTTTCCTATATGCATATAGTAAAAACTTTAAAAATCTTCTTTTAAAGAACTGTAAGAGCTAGAGCTTAGATATTTGGCATGAAACATCTTCTAGTGAATGTCTACCAAGTTTGTTCAAATAAAAGCCCTGGGGTCCAAATTGGCCCCGCCCCAGGGGGTCATTGATTTTCCCTATATGCATAAAGTAAAAACTTAAAAAACCTTCTTTTAAAGAACCCAAAGAGCTAGAGCTAAGATATTTGGCATGAAACATCTTCTAGTGAATGTCTACCAAGTTTGTTCAAATAAAAGCCCTGGGTCAAAATTGGCCCCGCCCTGGGGGGTCATTGATTTTTTCCTATATGCATATAGTAAAAACTTAAAAAATCTTCTTTTAAAGAACTGTAAGAGCTAGAGCTTAGATATTTGGCATGAAACATCTTCTAGTGAATGTCTACCAAGTTTGTTCAAATAAAAGCCCTGGGGTCAAAATTGGCCCCGCCCCAGGGGGTCATTGATTTTCCCTATATGCATTGTTCGGGAACTTGGGTTCTACTTCAAATATAAATCTAAACGAGTATGCGCCTTTAACTTTTATTTCCTTGATAAACGTCAATAAGCGTTGATAAGCGTTGATAAGCGATTCTCTGAAAATATTCATTTACAATTTGTACTTCGCAATAAATAATAAACATAAAAACATTCACATCATAAATAAATTATATATGAATTACACAATAAATCTAATTAGAACATTTGTACCTTTAAATTTGAATCTTACTGTAAATTATCTTTTAAAACAAGTGCGTTATTTTGTTAAATTAAACATACCGATTTTGACTTGTCTCAATACATCAAGTTCCAGATTTAAAACTGACGAGATTCTCAATAACAAAACAAAACAAAAATGATGACGTCGACATCTTACGTCGCGTAAAGTAGCGTAACATATTGACGCCATTAACAACGTTCACAAATCTGAAGTACTTAGAAATCAATACGTTTCTAACAGTCCTCGCCATGAAATTACTATTAAATTTCATCATAAATCGCAATAACTAGTACATTTACAATAAAGAGACAAATTAGACCTTTTAAACTTAAATATATGTATATTCGAATGTTTAATGTTTAAGCTTAGCTTTTAAACTTTAAAGTGTCAATAAGCAACATGGCTAAGGTGAACTTTCAAGTAGACACAATTTAGTAATAGATTTCACTGATTCAGTGTCTTTGTATTTCACAACACAACTTCTAACATGTCCATCTCGGCTTTCTCGTATCTGAATAATGCGTCCTAAGGGCCATTGTCCCCTTGTAGTATTCTCGTCAGAAACTAACACAATGTCACCAACACGCAAATCTGTAGTTTTCCTCTGCCATTTTGAACGACTTTGCAGGGACGGTATGTATTCACGGACCCATCTTCTCCAAAAAATATATTAGCCAGATATTGTATTTGTTTCCACCAACGCTTTACATAATTGTCTTCATTCTTAAACACTCCCTTTGGAATACTGCTGTTAGATTTCATTAATAGTAAACATGTTGGAGTTAAGGCTAACAAGTCATTTGGGTCGTCACTAACAGGGTTATTGGTCTATCGTTGAGAACCCTTTCGGCTTCTGTCATCAAAGTAAGAAGCTGCTCATCTGTAAGAAGTTGTTGCTTTGATTAATGATTTCAAAATAGTTCTCGTAAACGAATCAGTCTCTCCCACGCTCCTCCTCGGTGACTTGCTTGAGGTGGGTTAAAGTTCCACTTAATTTTTTTTTTTTCAGTCATAAATTTTCCTATTTTCGAATTGTTCCATTCTTGAATCGAGTGTCTTAATTGACGATCACCGCCTCACAAGATTTGTTCCATTATCACTGTACACCTTCTTCGGATATCCTTTTTTCTAGCCGTAAAAACGCTGAAAGGGCTGCGATAAATGAGCCCATTTTCAAAAGTGTTTGCAATTTAAAGATTTTTACTGCTTTTAAGTTCAAACAGGGTAAAAAGGGAAAACCGTATCTTTTTAAATGTTTACGCTCGGGTTTTTAACAAAAAGGGTTTGGTCCAAAGAAAATCAAATCCCTAAAATTCTTTGAAGGGAAAGGTTTCATCTGGTGCGTCTGCTGGGGAAAGGAAGGGGGGCCATCTTTTGAGTCTCAATGGGGTATTTTTTGTGGGTTTCATAAAAGCAATTTTTAAAAAATTTTTTCCCACTGCACTGGGTCCCTAAAAGTATCCATTTTTTTCACGGATGGGGGCTAGTCTTTGCTGTTTCCCCGGGCATCGACCTTTTTAATTTTTCATTTTAATTTTTTCGTATTATTAATCTTTTTCACGGTTTTTTATTGGGTTTTAGTATCACGGGGGTTTTTACTAGGGTTGCCCGAGATTGAAGGGGTCGACCCTGTACCCACCAATTTGAGGTCATTCAATATACACAGGATTCAATGAAGCCGATTACTGCGTCCTTTTTGAACCCGGCTTAGAATTTTTTAAAAATTGTTAATTTCACTAGAAATGGCCTGTATTCTTGTACATACAACATTATGTTATCTGCTTCTGTCTTGGAATTTCTTCTAATTTAAGTTGCCATCTAACCATTTTTCCCAACTTTGTTTTTAGGTATGCGGCTGTCTGCAGAAAGTCTTGTATCTTTAAAGCAACCATCGATGCCCTTCTTAGTTTCCCGTCCCAGCAACAATTTAGCCGATCTAAATGCTATCTACATTTCGCAGACTGCCAAAGTTTATTAACAGGACCCTTCTTGGGACCTCGTTATCATTTTCTGCTACTTCCGGGCTGAAGTGGATTTTTTGTCCCATTTTTCAGAGTCTTGCTGAAGAAAACGTTGGTCCATTTAACCATAAATGAAGTTTTTCAGTATCGTATGCACTTATTCCTCTGGAAGCTATGTCCTGCGGGATTCGAACTTGTGCTGTTCCACATGGCGCCACTGGTCTGGGGAAGTTGTTTCATGAATTATGCTGAGCCCTATTTCCCAACAAACGTCTTGAAACCGCTTGGACACATTATTTATATATCCAAGAACAATCATGGAGGTCTGTCCAAAAGGTAACTTGTGTCAAAATTCATATCTAATTCTTCAGATAACATTGCAAATAATCTACACCCTACTACAGCGCCAGATAACTCCAGTCGTGGAATAGACATCTGCTTAATTGGTGCTAGATGAGATTTTCCTATCACCAGGGAACAATGTACGTTGTCATGTACATCAACAAAACGCAAGTAACGCATGCCACCATAACACGCCTCGTTTCCGAGCCATCACTGAATATATGTTAACTGGGTATTTCCCTGACGGTCCCAAAATTCCCTGCGGTCCTGTACCAGCGATTCACAGATAGGCCTTTTCTAAGCTAGATAAGGTTTACGAGGGGATAAAACCATGGATTGGCCATTTCATATCTACTGATGTTGTTTTGTTTGGTGGGTATCTGGTCGCCCAGGGCCAATCTTTCATCTGCACCAAACTTTTGGTACTATTACCTTGGCCTGGAGTGTAAAACAGCGTGACACAATCCCAAAAGGGGTCGTATATAGAACTCACCACAGAAGACAGAAAGAATTCCCACGTCTCGTTGAAAGGCTTTCTTTCCCAAAATTTTTACTTTCTTAAAACAAATTTTATCTTTCATTTACATTCCAAAGTACTCTAAGGCGCGTCAAAGGTAAGGTTTTTATGGCGAGGCCCTTCAATTACAACAGAAGGGGGCGCTTCAGATTCTGGAGTAGCATTTCAAAACTTCTTCTGCTCGTTACTTTAACCATTTAGGTCAGGTCGAAATCCTCACCCTAACTTCATAATTGACTGAAGATCAGGTTGCTTAACTTTATTTGCCTTTTGTTCTGATTCCACAGACTTCAAAACAGTCGTCAACATAAAAAATTTTCTCTTGGACTGTAGTAACCACTTCCGCGTTTCAAATATTTTCGGGCAATTGTCAAACCTGGCAGTTCTCTTTAAGGCATACGCCGCACAACCTTGGTTTATGATGTCGCTCCAAACAAGTGTTTACATTTCATTGCGGTAACACTTCGGTTTCTTTGTTTTAAGTCCCCCACCAAAAGGCCACCATAGAAAACGTGTTAAACACATTGCGATCTTCATCCGTAACGCGAACTTGATGAAACATGGATTCTTAATCCGCGGCAAGGGCTATTTTTCTCTTCCTAAAACGAATTTACTACGCCCATAAGAACTGTTCATCATTAGGTCAAGGTCCTTGGAGCAGTTGGCTATTCAATGAAACGCCTTTATATTTCGCCAAGCGCAATCAAAACACAATGCGAACTTTCCCTGGTTTGTTTTAACATTAGTAACTGGATGATGTGGTAAGTACCAGATACGTTTGTGATAATTTTCGTCCTCCAATTCCCGGTAATTCAGTCGCAAAACCTTTCTCTATATATTCGTTCATGGTAAGTTGTGTACATTTTTCTGTAAATCCTGGGTCACGTGACAGTTTGTTTTCTTTAGTTTGGTTGAAGACGCACTTGAGCGAGGTGTGAAATGTTGTTTAGGCAATTGTCCGTTTTTCGTTTTTCCATGGTAAAAAAAACCCCATCATTAAGTGTCCGCCTTTATGATAAGAGAAGAATTTCCATTTATTTTCATTTGCAGCTTTTTGGTCTTCCCCAATTTTACATAGAATTTTCTTCGTTCCAATCTGTCGTTGAAATTCAGTAATTTCCACCATGCTTTTTCTAATTGTTCCTGTAATTAATATGTCTCCTGGACTGTTTCCAAAGTGGAAATATTTATGCACTGGAGTAGCTGTATTTCGTCTTTTCAAGGGGCCACGAATCGCCCATCCTAGGCGGGAACGCACTGCACGATGGTTGGTTCACTGTCTCCTGACCGTACTTCTAAGGGGGCATATGGGCTGCTGGGAAATCTTATGCCAATAAGAAGCATTTACATTCAGTATTGGGGAATTTGTGGGGAATTTCAATGTCAGATTTAAGTATGGGGAAAAGTTTTTTGTAGTCTTTAAATGCATTGCCCGCCTGATTTTGCGCGATATCGGTAGCTTCTTTCACCGACCATAACCTTTACGGAAGGGAGAACTTCCTCACTTCCGGTTCCGTTTACAGCCATTTAACTGTAAGGTTCGCCTTCAATAAATCCATAACTCGTGCTGCTAGATGAGTTCACGTGGTTGATCATTTGGAACGTAATTGGCTTACAATCAACATTTAAATCTTCTGTAACAGTCTTCGTCCGTCAAAGTTTTTGTCAGTTACCATCGTCTAACAGCGCGGTGTATGTATGACACTGGGAATCCCGTTTTTCGCCTCCTTACAATCACACAGGCACAACACCAAACAGTTTCTTCACAAAATGAAAAGCTCTTAAAGCTGCGCAATTCTCACCGAGGAATTGTGTGAACTGAGGCCTCGTTTACTGGTCCAGTCCAAAACTATGTTAGTAGAATATTGTGTTTAAATTCTATACAATCCGGCACGGTTACATATACTTTGGTTTTTTCTACAGTTATTTTAAAAGGAAATGATTTCCTTTCAAAACTAATTTTAAAAGCACAGGTTTGTTCTTTTTAACTGCGTTCGTTCCGTTCGTTTTAAATTTCGATAGACTTTTAAATTTCACACATGAACATAAGTCTGTACAGTTTACCATTGGCAAACATCTACATTTTCGCTCGTACTTCTTCATTTCCGTTATTACTCTGAGTAGTCAGTGTTGTTATCATCTTTTGATGGTTTTTTTCAGCATAAAAATCGACCGGAAGTTCGTCTTGTGTGTTCCCACTTTTAATGTTCTGGTTCTCCCACTTGACAATGTCTTTACCGTACATGGAATTAGCAAACTCGCGACTTTTCATCTACAAATCTCGCTAAAATCCGGAAAAACTTTTGGTTCTCTACCAGACTCATTAATCACGTGTGCGATCTTCAACCCATTTCACTCTCAAGATGCCATTGGTAACCGCTTCACTATACGTCTCAAAATTTGAGAGTTATCTATTTCAACAAGAGAAACCTAGTTGTGATAACGTTGATTTCCACATTTTTGCATTTCCATGGCTAAATTAGAAAAACTACCTTTAATGTCAGATTTGCTGATAACTGGGACCTTCTACCAAGTTTTTCAATGTATGTTCCTCGTGATCAAATGTTGCGCGTCTTCATAACGAGAGTATAAAGATTCGCGTGCGCGTTTGTATCCTTCACTTTGGGTTGTTAACAACACACAGTCTTCGATTAGCAAAATGTTTTTGCTTCTTATCCCGTAAAGTATTGTATTAAATAGCTCAACGTTGTGGCTTGTCATCAGAAAACTCTATTTTCCTATATTAGTTTCAAAGTTCTTCTATAAACTTGCAAATATTCTGTTGGGCTTTCCGCTGAAAGTTAATAGTTCCGGTTTTGGTAAATTAAATCCCTCGTGCAGCGCCCGAAAGCAAGTTTTTGAAATGCTGTATCAATCCCCCGGATTTCCACTAACGTTCGGGGAATTTCTTGTATATGATTCGTTACCAGATACTGCGTTTAGCGTGCGATTTGACAATTTGTACGATTCAGTATTACTCATATCACGTGCAGCACGGGGAAAATTAGTGCGTTCAACAATGTCGTCTGCATCAAATCCGCTTGTACCGCCCAACATTCTGTGATGATTATTATTAATTCCATCATCGGATAATAAACATGCTGATGTATCAGTTCTGGATTTTTGAAAATCCCATCTTTGCCTGTATGACGTTTATTTTGAAATTTTGTTCACTAGGAGACTCATTGATTAATATCGTCTGCTTTGAAGATTCATCCGCGTTAACACAATTTTCTGCCATACGGATTCTTCTATCTGCGCTTCTTCAAGAACGATCTGTTGATCAAGTAATGCTGTTTTTAAATTCGAGTTCCTTTCGCTTGCTAATTCGAGTCCATGTTTTTTCTCCAATGATTTTTAATTTTTAATTCCGCAATCAAACGTTTTGCTTTCGCACTTTTCAACTCTTGCCTGTGATGACACGGAATTTGTACTGCTAACTGTAGATAAAACATCATCATCAGGTATTTTCTGCAACAGATTTCCACTGTAAAATCTTTCCTGGCACTCTCAAAGAAGGTTTTTGACTCAATTGTTCATAATTCAATTCAAGCGTTTTCCGTACATTCCGGGTCTGAGCATACGTCTAAGCATAACAAATGTGCTTGATTTAAATTGATTCAAAGCGCTCACACAACTTGTCATAACAATATTTGTACCTCATCTGCGTTCTCATGTGATATCATTTTCCAGGTTCTAAGTCTTTGTATAGATCGCGTCAATTTTCCGAGTTGCGAAGAACGTGAACGCTTAACCACTACCAAAATCCTCATGCGTTAGGATCTGTTCCATTTTCGGTAGATACTTCCTCCATATTGAAGTAATCGAGAAATTGTTCGGGAACTTGGGTTCTACTTCAAAATAACAATCTAAACGAGTATGCGCCTTTAACTTTTATTTTCCTTGATAACGTCAATAAGCGTTGATTAAGCGTTTGATAAGCGTTGAATAAGCGATTCTCTTTGAAAATATTCATTTACATTTTGTACTTGCAATAAATAATAAAACATAAAAACATTTCACATCATAAAATTTAAATTATATTCATGAATTACACAATAAAATCTAATTAGAACATTTTTACCTTTTTAAATTTTGGAAATCTTCTGTAAATTATTCTTTAAAACAAGTGGTTATTTTTGGTTAAATTTTAAACATACCGATTTTGATTGTCTCAAATACATCAAGTTCCAGATTTAAAAACTGACGAGATTCTCAATAACAAAATACCAAAACAAAAAATGATGACTCGACGTAAACATCTTACGTCGCGTAAAGTTAGCGTAACATATTGACGCCATTAACAACGTTCACAAATCTGAAGTACTTAGAAAATCAATAACGTTTCTAACATGCATATAGTAAAAAAACTTAAAAATCTTTTCTTTTAAAGAAACCCAAAGAGCTAAGATAAAATTTAGCATGAGACATGTTCTAATTGGGTGTCTACCAAGTATGTTCAAAATAAAAGCCCTGGGGTTCAAAAACTGGCCCCGCCCCGGGGTCATTGATTTTCTCCTTATATACATAGCAAAAACTTAAAAAATCTTTCTTTGAAAAAAACCCAAATTAACTAGAGTTTAGATATTAAGCATGAAACATCTTTAAGTAAATATCTACAAAGTTTGTTCAAAATAAAAAGCCCAGGGGTCAAAACTGGCCCTGCCCGAGGTATGTCATTCTTTTTAACTATATGTGTATAAAAAACTTAAAAAATCTCTTTAAAAAACCCAATGAGCTAGAAACTTAGATGTTTTGCATGAAAACATCTTTTCTTATGGGTTTCTAACTAAAGTCTGTTCAATAATAAACAAATAAAAGCCTTTGGGTAAAAATTGGGCCGGGGACGGGGGCTATATACAGGTGAGCGACCTCAGGGCCATCATGGCCCTCTTGTATAAATATGATGCTCAAATTAAGATTTGTCAATATTGTAATTTCCAATAAGCATTATTTGTAAAGATATTACCCAATTGAACATTTCATGTAAATAAAAGGAGGTAATTAGAAAATTATTTTCTATAAATTCTAAGTCAGATTTTCCAATAAGAAATGAATGTAGTAATTTATTGATTAAATAGAATGTGCACAAATATTTGCAGTACACATTTTACATATTCTTCGATGTTTTTTACATAACTATAAACATATATAAATTTTTTGAAAGTGTGGTATACACACAATCTTCTCCAAATCCCTCCAGAGGCGTGCACGTCGCGGAGAAGGCACACGGAAGGTCAAGGTCAAGTCATCTCAAGTACCAGAGGTGATTGGTTGATCTGTCGTGACTAACTCTGGAGGGCTGTCACTAACGAAGGCCGTTTTTGTTGTCGTCAGTCAGGAAGTTGATGCCTTGACAGTATTGTCGTCTCCTTTACCACCAACGAACGAAGAATGGGCTACCAGGAAGATTCTGCCCCGATGTGACTACCGTAGTGGACCGGCAAGGATGCTATAATCTAGGACATATGGTTATTCCGGCGCCGAGTTTAAAAAAACCTAAATACACACAATATACACATAGTAGCAATATCAATCACAAAACATACAGCATCTTTAAGTATTTCATCATATACATTTTTATGCCCCCCTTCGAAGAAGAGGGGGTATATTGTTATGCTAATGTCAGTCTGTCTGTCTGTCTGTCTTTCGGTCCGTCGGTCTGTCCGTCGGTAGACCACATGGTTTCCGCTGATTATCTTTAAAAGTATTAATCACAAAGTCTTCATATTTTACATAGTGATTGGTCATAACTAGTAGAAGACCCTTATTGATTTTGGGGTCACAAGGTCAAGGTCACAGGGACCTTAAATGTCAAAATGGTTTCCGCTGATTATCTTAAAAAGTATGTATCACAAAGTCTTCATATTTCACACAGTGATTGGTCATAACAGGCAGATGACCCCTATTGATTTTGGGGTCACTAGGTCAAAGGTCAAGGTCAAAGGGGACTTAAATGTCAAAATGGTTTCCTCTGATTATCTTGAAAAGTATGTATCACAAAGTCTTCATATTTCACATAGTGATTGGACATCACTAGTAGATGACCCCTATTGATTTTGGGGTCACTAGGTCAAAGGTCAAGGTCACAGCGACCATAAAATGTCAAAATGGTTTCCGCTGATTATCTTGAAAAGTATTTATCACAAAGTCTTCATATTTCACATAGTGATTGGTCTTAACTAGTAGATGACTCCTATTGATTTTGGGGTCACTAGGTCAAAGGTCAAGGTCACAGGGATCTTAAATGTCAAAATGGTTTCCGCTGATTATCTTGAAAAGTATGTACCACAAAGTCTTCATATTTCACACAGTGATTGGTCATAACTAGTAGATGACCCCTATTGATTTTAGGGTCACTAGGTCAAAGGTCAAGGTCACAGGGGCTTTAAATGTCCAAATGGTTTCCGCTGATTATCTTGAAAAGTATGTATCACAAAGTCTTCATATTTTACATAGTGATAAGTCTTAACTAGTAGATGAGCCCTTTTGATTTTGGGGTCACTAGGTCAAAGGTCAAGGTCACAGGGACCTTAAAATGTCAAAATGGTTTCCGCTGATTATCTTGAAAAGTATTCATCACAAAGTCTTCATATTTCACATAGTGATTGGTCATAACTAGTAGATAACCCCTATTGATTTTGGGGTCAAAGGTCAAGGTCACAGGGGCCTTAAATGTCAAAATGGTTTCTGCTGATTATCTTGAAAAGTATTCATCACAAAGTCTTCATATTTCACCTAGTTATTGGTCATAAGTAGTAGATGACCTCTATTGATTTAGGGGTCATTAGCCTCCGTGGTCGAGGGGTTAGAGTCGATGACTTCTAATCCAGTTACCTCTCTGGCGTGGGTTCGATCCACGGGAGATGCTTTGGTAGTTTAGCGCGGAGGAAGGTAGTCTAGTACTGGTGTAACTCTCCAGGAACGATGGTTAGGAAACCTCCCGCCTATATGACTGAAATACTGTTGGGTAAAGGCGTAAAATGAAACAAACAAACAAACAAAGTCAAAGGTCAATGTCACATGGGCCTTAAATGTCAAAATGGTTTTCGTTGATTTTTTTCCATAATTGAACACTTCCATGTACCCATTTTTTGGCAAGTTTCTGTAATAAAATTACCAATTATGTGAGTCAATGGCTAGAAAGTGGGGTATATGTGTCGTTCGACATTCTTGTTTTGACATGGTACCTGTTACCTTTTTCAGTTATCTAAATGTTAAAGTCATAATGTTAAGTGGGTAATTATTTCCCCAACTTAATTTTAATTAATAATTGTTATTATCTTAAAACAGTTGTTTAAGAATTTTATATATTGACATACATGTATTGAGAACTTTTGAATTAAGAATATTTCTTTTTATACATTATATTTGTAAATATAATTTCTTGGACTGTCTAAAATAAATTATATTTTGACTTATACTGTCTATGTGTTTTTCTACAGCCTGTAAACAAAATAAAATCCTTCCCCTAACACGGACCGTTCGTAAAACAAATTTTTTTAATACCTCAAAGTGCTAAAAGGAAGGTTCTAAATAAAGGCTGTGTGAAACTTATTCAGTTCCTCAATCCTTAAATATGTATATCAACAACATAAGCAATGGATCAGAATTTATGTATTGCACAAATTCAAAGTTTTAGCTCGACTTTTTAAAAAAAAAAAAGGTAGAGGTATTGTTACAGTCATGTTGGCGTTGCTTTAGCCGTTGCCGTCTGCAAACTTGTATGTTGATCATAACTTTTTAAGTTCATGGAGTATTGTAACCGTTTTGCTTAGTTCAATTTTCTATTTATATATACTTTTACCAACTACATTAATAAACAGAACATTTTTAGCTCACCTGTCACAAAGTGACAGGGTGAGCTTTTGTGATCGCTTTTCGTCCGGCGTCCGTCCGTCCGTCCGTCGTCCGTCCGTCGTCCGTCCGTAAACTTTTGCTTTAAAAGACATCTCCTCATAAACCACTGAGCCAATTTCATCCAAACTTCTCAGGAATGTTCCTTTGGTGGTCACCTTTTAAAATTGTTCAAAGAATTTAATTCCATGCAGAACTCTGGTTGCCATGGCAACCGAAAGAAAAATCTTTAAATATCTTCTTTTAAACAACCCTAAGAGTTAGAGCTTAGATATTTGGCATGAAACATCTTCTAATGAGTGTCTACCAAGTTTGTTCAAATAAAAGCCCTGGGGTCAAAATTGGCCCCGCCCCGGGGGGTCATTGATTTTCCCTATATGCATATAGTAAAAACTTAAAAAATCTTCTTTTAAAGAACTGTAAGAGCTAGAGCTAAGATATTTGGCATGGAACATCTTCTAGTGAGTGTCTACCAAGTTTGTTCAAATAAAAGCCCTGGGGTCAAAATTGGCCCCGCCCCAGGGGGTCATTGATTTTCCCTATATGCATATAGTAAACACTTAAAAAATCTTCTTTTAAAGAACTGTAAGAGCTAGAGCTTAGATATTTGGCATGAAACATCTTCTAGTGAATGTCTACCAAGTTTGTTCAAATAAAAGCCCTGGGGTCAAAATTGGCCCCGCCCCAGGGGGTCATTGATTTTCCCTATATGCATAAAGTAAAAAATTAAAAAATCTTCTTTTAAAGAACCCATAGAGCTAGAGCTTAGATATTTGGCATGAAACATCTTCTAGTGAATGTTTACCAAGTTTGTTCAAATAAAAGCCCTGGGGTCAAAATTGGCCCCACCCTGGGGGGTAATTGATTTTCCCTATATGCATATAGTAAAAACTTAAAAAAATCTTCTTTTAAAGAACCGTAAGAGCTAGAGCTTAGATATTTGGCATAAAACATCTTCTAGTAAATGTCTACCAAGTTTGTTCAAATAAAAGCCCTGGGGTCAAAATTGGCCCCGCCCCAGGGGGTCATTGATTTTCCCTATATGCATATAGTATAAACTTAAAAAATCTTCTTTTAAAGAACTGTAAGAGCTAGAGCTTAGATATTTGGGATGAAACATCTTCTGGTGAATGTCCACCAAGTTTGTTCAAATAAAAGCCCTGGGGTCCAAATTGGCCCCGCCCCAGGGGGTCATTGATTTTCCCTATATGCATAAAGTAAAAATTTAAAAAAATCTTCTTTTAAAGAACTGTAAGAGCTAGAGCTAAGATATTTGGCATGAAACATCTTCTAGTGAATGTCTACCAAGTTTGTTCAAATAAAAGCCCTGGGGTCAAAATTGGCCCCGCCCCGGGGGTCATTGATTTTCCCTATATGCATATAGTAAAAACTTAAAAAATCTTCTTTTAAAGAATCGTAAGAGCTAGAGCTTAGATATTTGGCATGAAACATCTTCTAGTGAATGTCTACCAAGTTTGTTCAAATAAAAGCCCTGGGGTCAAAATTGGCCCCGCCCCAGGGGGTCATTGATATTCCTTATATGCATATAGTAAAAACTTATAAAATCTTCTTTTAAAGAACTGTAAGAGCTAGAGCTAAGATATTTAGCATGAGACATGTTCTAATGGGTGTCTACCAAGTTTGTTCAAATAAAAGCCCCAGGGTCAAAACTGGCCCCGCCCCGGGGGTCATTGATTTTCCTTATATACATAGCAAAAACTTAAAAATCTTCTTTGAAAAAACCCAAATAACTAGAGTTTAGATATTAAGCATGAAACATCTTTAAGTAAATATCTACAAAGTTTGTTCAAATAAAAGCCCAGGGGTCAAAACTGGCCCTGCCCGAGGGGTGTCATTGTTTTTAACTGTATGTGTATAGTAAAAACTTAAAAAATCTTCTTTTAAAAAACCCAATGAGCTAGAACTTAGATGTTTTGCATGAAACAACTTCCTATGGGTGTCTACCAAGTCTGTTCAAATAAACAAATAGAAGCCCTTGGGTAAAAATTGGGCCGGGGGGGGGGGGCTATATACAGGTGAGCGACCTCAGGGCCATCATGGCCCTCTTGTTTTAAGTTCAATTCTGTTTTATTTGACATGAGTTTTACTAAGAAATTGCTGATTTATAATACACATGTAATAATACCAAATAAAATAATATAATATGAAATACTTAGAATCAAAATAAGCGTTTAAATTTATAATGGAAAAGATGAAAAAAGAGATAATTTTTAAAGAGACAGGTGGAGGTGGCTTAGCCCTTTGACAGGTAAAAGTTACCTTATTGTTCGTGAACACAAGCAATGCGAATGGTCAAAAATCTCCCTTACATAGGCTGTCTAAAAATAAACTCACAAAAAATACCATGCTGGATTATAGGGAAAATAGGGATAGTTTCAATTTAATCAGTTACTTAAGAAAGTATTATCAATAAATAAGAAAAACCATGAAAGCGTAACATTTAATCATCTTGAAATGTCCAAAAATTTAAGAGGACCAATTTAACACTTGAAAAGTCATGGATTAAAGTGAATCTTAAATGTTTTACTGTAAACAGAAGAATTTTAGAGAGAAATAAATTTAAGGAATAAAAGATGAATTAAATTGTGTTAGAAATAATCAAAATCTGCCACATTCCACCTTCCTTAAAACAAAGTTTACAAAAAAAAAAAAAAAACATAATTTTAACAATTTTTGTGATCGAAGATCAGTAAAATACAAAGCGGACATTCAATCTCTGACACAGAATTTCACGACAGACCGAACAACAAGTAGTTCTCAAAACAACTTAAAACAAGTGATTTAAAAGAAAGAAATATTTTATTTTGTTACAAATATCCAACAAATTACAACGCATTCAAAGATTAAAAGTAGCGTTGGCTTATAGAATTGTCAATAAATACACAATCACAAATTACGCGGATGAATATGATTTCAAGCAATGAAAATGCTATTTTAGCGATGTCGATTACTGAATACTACGCAAATAAATCTGACGGCCGAGTAGTGATATATATTCTACTTGTCGGACTGTTTGGGCGAGAAGATTTTCGCTAAATTACTTACTTCAATTTGAAACAATAGGTTTATCCTAAACAAAATACCTCGAAATTAATAAGGATTACAAACCCGAAATGCAATGGAAGTTCTAAATTTAGAATGACATAATTTTATTCAGGCATTATTTGTATAACTTCTTCGTGGTGCAGGGGTAACGCGCTCGTTTCGTGTGTGAAAGGTCTGAAGTTCAAATCCCAGTCGAGGCAATTTTTTTTTAATTCTTTTTTAAGTGTCTTTGTAAGATATGCAAGGATAAAGTGTGGCTGTCATAAAAAATGAACATAAATGATTTTTGATGCAACTCTAGTTATGCAGAATTCCGTATGTATCAAACTCTGGTGCCTTGGCAAGATATTATAGGTAGCATGAGGAAATGACAACAGATATATAGCAGTACGGATTAGTGTTCAAGATCAGAAAATAACGCACATGAGGTGATTTGCAGCCTTTATTAATAATATGCAATGTAGTTACATTTTTAAAACGAATTTTATATTGCTGTAACTTGGATAAGAATTAAACAGTTAACTTTCTAAAATTCTTAAGTAATTGGTTATGTTGTCCTAGGTTTGTTAAACGTGTTTTTTTGTAATTTACAATTGCTGTTTGTCAATACCACTGATAAGATACATTTAGACATGTTCAACCTCTTTTCCTGTTGTCGTAACATAGTCGCAAAGAATCTAATAACCACTCATCCGACAATCGGCCCTTACAGTACTAATAAGTGTGCCGATATCTGTATTCTTTCTACGGGTATGATTCCTTTAGTAGAACCGGCTGTAAGGGCGGTGTTGGCTTGGGTAATAAATAGGTGTGTACTCTACCTTGGATTGACATAGCTTTTCATTGGACAACAGCGCTCTTCTTCAAAAATTGAAGTCTTCTAGGATTTGTGTTACTGTCTTGAATGGGACTTCCACCAGGTCCCTTCCGAATGACAAACATTGCCCGCCAGGGCACTGGAATACTTGTAGAGTTATTAGTTCGTTACGGGACACTCACTATCCAAGCCGGTGTCTTTAAAGAAGTTGGAATGACTTGTTATCGTTTGAAAGGATCATTCCTTCAAACAAACATGTTAACTGTTCCTGGCCACTGTTGGTCACACGTTCGGATTAAATCGATGTTGGCATAGATGAATGTTGAGTTGATGAGCGGTTGTAATCGTAAATCGTGAAAGTAAAATTCTCCGATTTAATATCAAAGATATCCCAGTTGCACTGCTAAAGAAAGAAGGAAAACAGAGTTGCAAAGTAATGTTTACTTTCAGTAACTTTTACATAATAGCAAGTGAAATATTGAGAAATGTTGTACTATAGATAAAATTGATTTGCTCGGATTGATATATTTCAATATAATTTAAGTGGTCGGAATATCCTGGCTGACATTGTCTGTCCAGAGTTTTTCGCATGATAACCTGTGTTTCCACGAACGCTGAAATTTAAGATTCAGAATTTGTAAGGTCCTTGGTAACCCTTTTACAAATTCTCTATCCAATTAT